ATTTATAATGCTCCCTAAATAATCAAAAAATAAATTACAGTGAAAGCAATGAAGATTTTGTAGGTTTTGAACCAAACTAAATAACAGTAAACCTTTTTTTGATTGACGGTATTTTCTTATTTTGATGTTTTGCGCTCTTTTGTGTTTAGAACAATATATACTAATTTTTAAAGTATCAAATTGAATTTTTGTTCAATAAAAATCTTTCAAATGCGAATGTAGCTTTCTTTTCCCCAAAACTTTGTCTTCAAAATAAGGGTGCGTCTTATATTCGGAAAAACACTGTAGTTCTCGATATTTCGCGAAATATTTCGTCTTTGATTCTGTCTTTCTTTCAAACACACACGCACGCACACAGAAACAGGAGCGCGCGCAAATAAAAAACAAAACAAACAAAAACAACTCCTAGACACTTTAATGTAATCTACTTTTTAAATCTCTTACTAATACAATCCAAATAACTATTAAATTAAAATTAATTTACTTTTTATCGAAAATCATGTGAAATACTCGGATATAAAGCAACGACATTCAATGACTCTAAAATATTATTTGTTCTACCTTTTTTTTTAGGTAACTGATTTGCAAGATGCTTATTGTCTTTGATACAACTTTCCCATTCGAAATAAAAGGTTTAAAAACAATGCCCAATAAATTACTGAACGGTTCACTGATCTTTATTTTAGCCCCCTACAATAGGGCAGCTTGATATACCATAAAGATTTAACAACCAAAAATATTCCGAACTTTTACTCTTTACGCATTCTTTCAGTATTATACTTTTTGGCAGCACAAAATTTTCCAATTTTATTTTGATATAAAATAAATATCGTTTCTTTCTCGGTAAATAAACTTCTAAATCTAGATACATTCTATCAATTTTGTTTCTGTGTTCTTTAGATAAAAGTTCCCATCTTTATTACAACCAAAATATTAACTACTTTATCATTTTTTTGAATAATTCTATGATTTCTTCTCAGTATTGTGTGTGTGTTTTCTTATAGCAAAGCCACATTGGGCTATCTGCTGTGTCCACCGAGGGGAATCGAACCCTTGACTTGAGCGTTGTAAATCCGAAAACTTACCGCTGTCTCACTGTGGGACCCAAGTAGTAATGAAAACGAAACTTCTTGCTGGTTCTTAAATTCTTGTGAAGCAAGTTATTTAATCTTCTACCACCACATCTGTCCTCAGTCTTCTAAGTCAAACCGTTTTTGTTTGTTTTACCAGCTACGAGTTATTGTGTGCAGACAAAAAAAAGAGAAGATTGACTCAAACTTTTTGTTCATTAGGCTTAATTGATAAAACAAATAGTTCTTTAACAATAAAATCATATGATAGGCAATAATAGAAGGCTGTAATATTCGTGCAATATTTTCAAAGTTTATATTCACAGACTGTATTCTCTCACGACACCCCAGCTGCTGGAAAGGGCACAACAGATCTAAATTTGTACCACTTACAGCCCCACTATACAGTTGTGTGGCTGTCGTTTAAATCGTATACTATAACTTTGTTCGCACCAATAATTCTTAGCACATGAAACACTTTTACTTCTTTGACACACGGGATTGAAACCCCCGTGTATTACAACTGTCGTGCATTTCTCACGTATTGAGACGTGTAGTTCTATAAGGTTTGTTTTACTTTAATTTTATTACATTTAAGAATAACTAAAGATTAAGAAATAATGTAATCTGTAACTTGTGATACTAAAAAAGAAAAAAAGCAGTCAAGCAAAAAGTTTTTCTTTTGTAAAAGATTTTTTTTTTCTGAACCAAATAATATTCGTACATATTTTTATTTCACTGTTTAATATGTGACCCCCCCCCCCCAATTACATGATTTCTGTAAATAATATATATATTTTTTTACATTGTTACAATTCCTGTTTCCAAACTGACCAGTTTTTGGTTTTGTGTGCACAATGTCCCGTGGTTAACTTTTAAGTTCTACCGGCTTTTTAGGTCAATATTAACTTAGCGAACCAACAAACAATATTGAAAAATCTAAATTATAAAGTAAGTGTTAGATTACATCTTTAAATAAAAAGATCATGAGTAAATAGAGACTACAATATCGAGACTTGAGCTAGGGACCTCAGGCTAAAAAAGGCTAGAGTTAGACAGGGGTTCTGGATTTACCTCCCGCTCGAGCAGTATCTTCTCACTTTTCAGCTTTTTCACTTAAATATTTAATATTACTTATTATTATTATTACATATTACTATTTCACGGTTTCCTGAATTAAGGTTAGTTTTCCTACATCTGCAACATCGAGAAGCATATCTAGTCTGAGACACTTTTTTTTTCGTCACTTCTCAACTACTGCATTAAGAGGCTTTTGATAACTTTTCGAAGTATAATCACAAACTTGTAAAAACCACGTTTTTAATTTATTACGAAAATAAAATAAAACTCGTGTCCAAATGAAATTGGTTCAGACACACCACACGTGACTGAAACACACTTCTTGTTCATTCATCTTATCTACAGCAGGTGTTAAGAACAAGGTGCAGTTTTCTTGGAAAGCAAGTTCATGTCTGTATTGTTTCCTTCTTTCTTCTGATCCTTACGATATACTAACAAGAAACACTCGATTAATTCTGTGTAAAACAATTTAGCTAACACATTGGTTCCCTAACTTATTTGTCCACGACCCAAAATTTGAAACCACATTATCTTTGCGACCCAAATAGTATCAGTATCTACTCTGAACCACAGCAAATCACTGCAGATATATAACATAATATTGAAGAAAACATGTGGGAAAAAATGTAGACACACTTGCTCATCTTTTTCCAATTATATATTTTTCTGAATAAAGTTCAATTATTGAACAAAAAAGGTGTAAGCACCAATTTACTTGACAGTAATAAAAATATAAACATCATTATTGCAAGCCCTTCATTTTCAGTTGCTTCCATGATGCTGTCGCTTCTTCGCAATCAGTTGATCCAATCTTGGTATAATATTGATAGTGAGTGTATAGTGCAGTCCATACTGAGGATTAAGTCTATTTCTTGCCTTGGTCCTGATGACCACGAAGCTTGGGAATCCTGAATCACAGAAGTACGTCGTTGGGAAAGGCAGCAGAATTTTTTTCAGCTTCCCGGCTGAGAATCAGCGTCTTCTGGGCCTAGAACCTTGAATACGGAAGCTGAACAAATTTATCTCGCTGAACTTGATTTTCCTGGAGATCAGTCAGTTCTACTTGAACCAAGGATGTCATCTCCAAATTCTGTAACATCCAAATGAAATTGATTTCTGATCCAGCTGTGCTTTTGAAGCTTTTTTAAATGTCCCTGAAATATATTTTCCAGATTAGTCAATGATATTTCAGGAGAGTCTTCCAGTAAGGCGATCAGCTCTGGGAATGCTGCTGCAATCTTCCCCTTGGCCATTTTTTTCTTGAAGGACGAATTTTTTTCACTAATATCAATCATGGTTTGGTTGCAACCCTGCGTATCTGTGTTCAGTTCATTCAGGTGATGGAAGATGTCACTCAAATAGGTCAATCTCCACACCCATGTGTTGGATCTTGTCGGCTCTTGTCGTATAGTTAGAAAGCCGGAAAATTTTATATTGAGATTGCGTATACTTTCTATGTGTCTACTAACAATGATTTTAGCTTGATTATTTTGGGAATTCGCGACCTATCAGAAAGTATTTGCGCGGAACCTTTGGAAGAACAAACTAACAATACCTTTATACGCAGATGTTGGAATGAGTTTTCATGTATCCTTTAATATTTTTTTCTTCTCTTGCAAGAAATTGTAACCTGCCAATAAAATAAAAAAAAGGAAGCATAATTCCTTCGAATGAATTTTTAGACCGATTTACATCAAAGGAGCTCATCAAGTAACGTATGTGTGAACAAAAACTGTAATCATGTTATTGCTATCACGCAACCAGATTTTTTTATTATTCAGCCTCTACACAAGTTTAGAGTATTTAATGTTATTTTCAGCCACCAGATACATTTACTGTTATTCCAGTCAATTGTATCCCGAGCATACATCCGCAGTTGAGTAGGATCTATAGAATAATTTGTCAGTCATTTCCTGCTTATGTGAATCAAATGCCAGCAACGGGTGTCCTGGATGGCGTCGGAATTAAAAGGAAGAACTGTACAAATCTGGTTGTAGCCCATCAAAAAGAAACGTGTAAGTAGCGGGTGAAATGGAAAAGATAAACACACGCATATATATATATACACATACAGAGGGAGATGGGTTGAGTATATTATAATAAAATGATTTTGAATGTGCAATTCAAGTCACGTGACGACCATAGCCAATAAAAACAGAACAGTAACAAAAGCCATGAACGTGCTCCTGGCAACAGCACGTTTTATAATCAAGAAAGATATCTGTCTGAAGAAATGAGGCAAGTCACTTATACAAATGTTTCCTCCACGACATATTCATTCAACCGTTGCATACTTCAAGCAGCTGGAAATTTAAATTAACTCAATACGAAGATATACTAGTGAAGTAGACTTTGATCTTATGTTTGATAGAACATTTCAAACAGTTTGTGGGAACCAGTGTCCTTTCTTATACATGAGATGGATTATGAAACATCATGCTGTAAAGAATAGTATGCTTTGGACTTGACAACCTTACGACATAACCTTTAGCAATGGAAACTCTACTACAGGACAATTTTCAAGGTGCATGGTTTTCAGATAGAACACGACCGCACATGGCAACATAGACTAACGATGTGGTGAAGCTCGAAAATCGTTTTACATAATATCTGTGTTTCTGTTTACTGCGAGTGTGTACATACACGCATCCTGTTATATAGAAGCAAACAATCATAAAATCTTCAGTAATTATGACTTCTAGACTAATACACACGAAAAAACTAGCTAATTATTATTATTTTTTATAATAATGAGCTGGTTTCGAAAAGTAAGCTATATAGATATCAAGTAAAATTAATACCTAACTTTGTTCGAGATTTATTGATTCTTTGTTACTTTTCGTGTTACAGATCGAAGGTCATCTAATTAAGTTTGACCATGAAAAGAAAGTTGCACGACTTAGTCTACGTGCAATAGAAGTATTAAGATGTCTGGAGGAAATATCGAAAAGGTATGTTAAGTTTACTGTATTTATTGAATCAAATACTTTTTTGTCTATTTATCCATATATTTATCTGTTTGTGTGGGTCAGAAAGCATTAGTATAGCACAACATATAGGTCTGAGGCTAAACAATTTTCGTTTAAATTCAAAGTGTGATAGCATTTATAGAATATGAAACAAAGTAATCATTTCTAAATCATTAGTTCTTGCTTGAAAATTGTTGAAAAAAGTTAACTCCATATTTATTTGAAATTGTTTACACATGCCAATTTAATTTTCGCCAATATATTTTACCCTAGTGACGTGGAGCAACTTTACTTAAATGGCTCTTCATTGGTTAATGCAGTTGAACTTTCTTATTTGACTTTGCACTTGCAATCTGAGGGTCGCGGGTTCGAATCCCCGCGTCACCACGCCCTTTCAGCCATAGGGGCGTTAGTTATAATGTGACAGTCATTTCCACTATTCATGGGTAAAAGAGTATCCAACGAGTTGGTGGTGGGTGGTGATGACTAGCTGCCTTCCCTCTAATCTTTCACTGCTGAATTAGGGATGGCTAGCACAGATAGCCCTCGTGTAACTTTGTGAGAAATTCAAACCAAACCAAACCCTGCACTTGGGACATTCCCATGTGTGCTCAGTCCCTATCCTCAATAACCATCAAAGTGTGTGTGTGTGTGTGCTGATTCTTTCTGTGATATATTGATTATATGTTCACCACTTATTCCCTTTAGTTGGAGCTTTTTCCCCATCTCTTCTAGAGAATCCAAGTTCAGCAAGTCTTTTTGTCACTGCTTCTTCAACTTCTCTGGAGATCTGCTCAAAGATTTCCCATAGGGCCTTCACAATCAGTTTTGTTTGACCTCAATTTGTCTCCAGTAAGAGCCAAACGAGCCAGTTTATCTGCTCTTTTATTTCCTTGGACCCCAGTATGACCAAGAGAGAATATTTCTACTGGGCTCTTCACGTGTGACTTTTGCAGATATTATAACCATTCCACATGGAGCCATCCAGTCTCTATTTTACACAGCATGCCTTGTGAATCAGTGAGAATTACTGTGTGTCTGACAGGTTGAACCTCAAGCCATATCAGAGCAGCTGATGGATCTTCAATCTCCATCCACATGTATCTTTGATAATTAGTATTCTGAGCCCATATTCCACAGCTGATAGCAGGAGATGCTGGTAAAGAATGAACAGCAGTCTTTGCTACATATCTGCAGTAGCTATGTGTTTTAAGATATCCAAGCTCTCTCTTTGTCTTCTCCACTATTGCATCTACATTATTATTGAAGGACAGTCTCCTATCAAAGGTGATGCCCAGGTATCTCATTGCATCCCACTGATCCCAACTTCCAGGACCTCGGCATTCACTATTCGATTGTTCAGTGAGCACCATAGCATGAATACTTTGTTAGAATTAGTGACAGCATTAGGTTCCCCACACGAACCCTAAATGCCATCAATTGCACTTTGTGTTCTCTTGAAATTTGAGCTCTGTCCTGACCATTCCTGTAGAATAGTATGTCATCTGTAAATGTAAGGTCCATTGACTGCATCTTTGTCACATTTGATGTACTTATATTGAATAGAAAAAGGAAAATAGGTGATCCCTGAGGCAGTCCTGATAAAATAGTCTACAGCTGTGATATCCACATACCTATGTGGAAGGTGCTCTTCATTTCAAAGGGTGCTTCTGCAGTCCAAATGAGTATTCAGAGGTCCACTAGGATGTGCATCAAATGGTTATATTTCACTCTACTGTCGGAATCCTCCAAGTCCAGCACAGTAGTTAACATTTCAAACATTTTCTGCAAACCCTCATACACATCAGAAGCAAAGACTCCTACATTAGCCTACGTGTTCTTCTTTGGCCTATAGCTTCCACAAGTCTCTGGCAGGACTTCTCTCTATTCCAAATCAAGCCTTAACCCTCTAGCAATGATCTATTCAAAAAGCCTACTATACACATTATGCATCACAGTGATGTGATAGCGACTCATTTGTGTGTAATCCTTCCCTGGTTTAGGCAATGACTTCATGTAGCTATTCTTCTGGAAGTGTTGAACTTTTGTACTGTCATTGAATTCTTCCATAATCTCGACCAACTGTCATCTAGTTCCATGATTTGATGGTATTTTACCCCATCAATTCTAGGAGCACTGTCCCTATTCTGCCTGAGGATTCCTGTATACTGATCATATCCTCATAGACTTCTGGATTTACCATACTACTCAACTATCTCTAACCAAGCATCTTAACTCATGGTGTCATTGATTCGTCTGTTGAAGAAAATATTTAAAGAAGGCTTCACCATTTTTCTGACCAGTCTTCATTATTGCTATATCTCCATTTCGTATGTTTGGTATTGTGTGGTCTGTACCTTTTTGATTCATCCTGTAATGAAATTTCCAGAATTTTCACAGTGCTTTACCAATACCCCACCTCTTTTGTGAACTACTTCCATTTGTTCCATTTAGATGCAGCTGCCAGTCTATCAAGCTCCACTATTTGCTTGCTCTTCTTCCTCTCCACTTCCCTCATTAGTTCCTTTGTATTTTATGGTTGTTTACTTAACTTCTGCCACCTTTATATAACACCTCGTATTCTTCCTCCATGCATCCTTGACTTCCGCAATTTACCATGGTGGTTGACTCAACTGGTCCCTTTTGTCTTTTCTTTGTATTCTGTCGAAGGACACCAAGGGGTCCATAATTATGTCTATTCATGTAAGCGAATGCCCCTGGTGTTTTGTTTTGTCTTATGGCTGCCAGTCTTCCTGAATGATACCATGGGGTTGTGTATGCATCAGCGTCACGTGATGCATAAGCACTGTATGCAGTGACCTGATAGCCATAAGGTGAAAGTGTCGCTTATTCTGTGAGTCAACATTGCCGTGTCAGAGCCTTTCCATGATCAAGACCTGTTATGTACCTCCTTGAAGCAGCTCTTACGTGCATACAGCCTGGGCAACTATCTCCCCATGGAGACATATAGGCAGAACAAACCCCATCCATGGTTCAAATGGCACTCTTACCCACCTGTAAGATATGGGAGACAACCTAGGCAAAATCCTTAAGCCGAAAGTAACCTTCGTGCTGAGAGGCTGCAAGGTGTGTAGTTCATAGTGAGACAGTTTGTTATGTAGGCGGAGTGGTGCTATGCTGATGGACTCTGGTTGAACTTCCCTTTCCCTATTCGTGACATGGGGAGTTTTGTCAGGGTGACCATATATTTTCCCCATTCTATAAAAATATGAGAAAATAGTTCTTAATAACGTAGGACAACACAAAATAATTGAGCCCATAACTTCAAATGGTGTTTACTGGCGACTCAGCGTCAGAATTAGGCGTAAGCAGACTAGACAATTGCCTAAAGCCCTGAGCAGTTCAAGGTGCCTCCTACTCACGAGAATATTTTATATTGTTTTCATCAAAACTTTGACTTTTCCCTGTTTTATTATTGCACTATATCAAAATAAACTTCCAATGGAAGTTGCATTGAAATACATCACTCACGAACAGATGGGCATTTAAAAACTGCAGTAGCAAGACACTTCTCAGTCAGGCAGCTATATGTGGTTTGCATGCATTAATTGGTTGCTAAGTGCAGAATACACACAGTATTCGTGATTTGAGAAACAAGCTGGTACAGTGGTAATAGTGTGCGAGTAGAAATGACTTGAACAACTATATTATATGTTGTGTTGATAAATGTTTTGATCTGTGGAAATATTGCACTTAGTATTTCTTTAGGTGGGAGCCCAAAATATTCTCACTTAGGATCCCTATTGGGTTAACACCATCGCTGCTTAATTGTACATTCTTTCAATGAAAGAACTTGTGAATGATTCTAATTAATTTATATATATATATATAAATTGCACGTAACAATATAAGCAAGTCTACAAAAAGTATCCCTTTTTAATTGTCCTTTGTTAGTTTTCGCTTTGAGAACATTTTTAGTTTTGTCTACATGATACAGCTTTTCACTAATGAAGAAAAAGAAGTGATTTTGCACAATAATGTTTTATATTTTATGCTCATTGCGTGGTACTGTACTGTATGATTAATACAAGCATAAACAAAAGTAAAAACAATGTTTGGGTTTACCAATACTTTTGCTTATCTGGTAGTCAATGATAAGGGTAAATTAAAGGGTTCAACACGTTTTAGTAAAACGATTTTGAACATGCAAACCTGCAAATCACATGACCACCACACCTGAAGGAACGTCATGATGAACAGGATGTATCAGAACTGCAGATTGACAATGTTTGGTGTTCGTAGGTAGTGTGATGCCATCAAAAATTGATCACCTTTGAGAAGGTATGTAACAAGCCTCTTGGGCGCAAAATACTCGTACATTCAAACCGTAAAGATCTGTACAGACCAGAGAGAATTTCCAAGACAGGGATATCACTTCTACTTCATGGCATTGGGAAACAAAGAAATGTGAATCAACTTGGGGTACCAAGACAATTCAGAGAGAGACCTGTCACAAGTTGTACCTTAAGCATGATGTGCTTTAGACGTGCAAACCATATTACAGACATCTTTGCAATATAAACTGTGCTGCAAGGCCCTTGTCAAGATACACAGTCGTCAAGTAGAACATGATTGGATGCATCAATATGGACTTCAACGACGTGGTGAGGTTCTAAAATCATTTCAGCATAACAGTACTCAACCTATATATGCCTGTTACTGACCCTAGATTCATATATTACAGATGAGGATTACTTGAAAGACGTTGACATTGTGGTTGCTTCACCAGCTCCAGGAATAAAATATATAAAAAACTACTTCCTATTTGTTGCTCAAGAAACTGATGATACTGTTACGACAGTGGAAGTCACGCAACGCTGGGAGCATGTACGCTGGAGTTTCTCGAAACATCATGAATTTTTCTGGCAACTCTAGTTTGTTTGAGGCGCCCTCTTTTTAGTATATAAGCCTGACGAGAAAAACCAGGATGATGGTAGAGATAAATAGATTGAAGAAATAGATAATTGAGTCAAGGGAACAGTGGGCATTGTATGTAAAGTGTGTGAATAGCTGTGATTTATAGATTCTGTGTGTCATAGATTCTGCATCTCAGCAAATCCTTGTGAGTATCAAGGTGCTAGATCACAAAGGAGTACCAGAAGCCATACAGAAGCTCTGTGGTGTGACAGAACATTATACAAGGTTGTGGGAGCCAGTGTGGGTAACTATTGAGCTCATGGGAATAAAGGACAAACAGAAAGTATACTTGGCTGACATTAAAGACCAATGCATACTAGGG